ACAGACACAGACACAGACAGAAAAGTAGAGCTTCCTGGTTTTAGGTCTCGAGTCAGGGATTGTGGAATAGAGGCTCTGTTGTGGTCTGAATTATGCCTACTTACATTCCTATCTTGAAGCCCTGCCCTTAGGCCCTCAGAATTTGACTGTAGGTGGAGACAGGACTACACAGGTGATTGAATGAAGATGGAGCCATGGGCGTGGGCTTAATACAGAATGACTGACACCTTTATAAGAAGGGAAGGCTAGCACCCAGAGGGAGGAGCACAAGAACAAGCTGACACTTTGATACTGGACTTCTAGGCTCCCGAACTGTGAGAAAGTAAGTTTCTGTTATTAAAGCCCCACCCCCACCCCCGTTTGTGGTATTTTGTTGCAGTTGCCAGCTATGATAGGAGATGTGTCCCCTGACCTGAAAGCTTCCCATGTGCTGAAAACTGTGTCATCACAAAGGTGTGGGTGGAGCCCAGTGTGGCCATGTGGAGAGGTAGTGGAACCCTTAGGAAATGGGGCCTGGCACAGGGTGGGTCGGTCATGGGGACATCACCCTGGGAAGGGATTGATGCTAGTCTTGTGGAATTGGTTCTAGTCAGGGCTCAGTAACATAAAAGTGAGGGCACCCCACATGCTCTCCCCTTCTGCACTGGCCAGTTCCCTGATTCTCCACCGTATGTTGACAAACCCAGGAGCCCCTCACTAGGACACCAGTTCCCATGCCATCATGGGCCCCCAGCCATCAGAATTATGGGCCGAATAAACAGCTCTATAAACTGCCCAACCTCCAACATTTTGGCACAGCAAAAGAAAATAGACTAGTGCATAACCCTAGAAAGCTAATGCAGGTCCCTATGGTCACTGAACAGGCCACTCAGACTCACAATGGACAGTGGGATCCTTGGGACCTAAACTCAATTATGCCCCAAAGTGGCAATAACTTAGCGCTGTCCGGATAGGGGCAGCACCTTCGTACCCAACAGCTCATCACTGACATTCGCGAAATTCTCAGAGGATAAGTACTTGCCCACTGTCGCAGAGCTAAGCAGCCCCCTGTTTACCTCCGAGCGCATACATTTGTCCGTGTCAGAGCCTTTCTCCATAACAGTCATAGATCCCAAACTGAACCAACACTCAGGCAGATTTAAAGCAACATGCCAACCAAACTAAACACCAACACTATCCAAGACCTCCTTGGTCCTGGGACTTGAGGACAGCCTCCACATGTCATGGCTAAAGCAATTCGATTGTCCCTAGCTTAGTGAGCACAGCGAGGTCCTGCCTTCACCCTTCTCTTCACTTTCTAGGCACTTGTGCCCCTCTTGCTGACAGAGGAGTCCTCACCAAACTCAAAGATAGAGGGTGAAAAGAGCAAGGGAGGAACACTGGGAAATCCAAGGTCTGGTCTCTCTGGGCTCCCGAGGGACCCTAGAAGCCCTCCGGCTTACTCTTTTTATTTTCTGTCAAAGATGACCCTTAAGGACGGGGCCTTGTCCGCGCCAAGGTCTGTCTTCCAGGGCTGATACGCAACAGAGGCTCTCGACCACCACCCAGTCCTGCTGACCTCCCTGCCCTTCAGGATGGGGGGACACGACACACAACACGGCAGGGCCTATCCCATTATCCATGCTGGCATTCTGAGGAAGTGTGGCCGATCTGACCCAGTGCCTGTCAGCCTGGGGCCAGGCCTTGGCAGCACACCGCCACCCCGCTTTATCTATCAGCAGCCATTTAGAGATTCAGCCCACAAGGCCAGGGCCACAGGGTCCGGTGCTCAGTGTGACTGGGTGGGACTCTGAGGAATTCCCCAGAACCTTGGGCATTCACAAACAGACACAGGAGATTTAGTGATAGCATTTATGCCTTTTCGTTGAGAGGACAAAGTTGACATTCCTGCCACTATCCGGTGAAGGCCAAACTTTCTGGGCCTAATAAGAACACTTGGAATGTTTGAGCTGGTTTGAGAAACGAAGGCAAAGTGGTACCCAATTTTTAACACGGATATAAAAATCGAGCCAGTCAGGTACATAAGTAGTTCTCTGCTCGCAGATTAAAGGAAAGGGGCAAAAAGCAATTCACAGTCTCTTGAAAATTTTCTTAATATCAGGCCTACTTCTAGAAAAAGCCTTC